CCCGTGCCCTTTACGGAGCGCAGGGTCCGCAGGCGCCGCAGGGCGAACGCAGCCCCTGGGACCTCTCTCCAGGGACCTGGGATCCGCCCCGTGCAGCTGGAGCCGGGCTGGGAATCTGGGTTCTCGCCGCCCCGCAGCGCCACCTCCTGGCTCTCGGCGGTGACAGTTTTGAAATTGGTGTGTTCCAGGTGGCGTTGGCTCCCATGGCTCTGGACCCTGGCTGGGCTAGACCCCTGGGACCTTTCGCTTAGCACAGACTCCTGAGCCTGCCCGGGGCCCCCAGCAATCAGCACCTCCCTAGTGTTTGGGGCTCTGACGTGGCTGCAGTTTCACTGTGAGCCGGCGACTCAGGGGTGGAGATTCTCTGGTGCTTTGGAGGGTGGCCTCTCCTGTGCTACCTGTGGTTCCCACGCCTGAGCCGCATGGAGGGGCCAGACCACGCTCCTCCCGCTGCAGGAGGACCCCTCGGCCGGCTGCTGGGTGGCTGAGCGACATGGGGTGTGGGATTTTTATGGGCTCCAGCCCCAGATAGAGATGACAGCCTCAAAGAAACAGCCTGGGAAAGAGCCCCCAAATACAGGGTGACGGTCCCTCCCGTGTCACCAGGGCACTCCTAGCCGAGTCTGTCTCAGCGTGGTTATCAGGAGGGACACTTTTATGGTTAAAAGTGCCCGGATTTGGATGACTTATCATTCGCATCCCCCCAAGAAGCCCCGTCACCCTGGGCTGCTGTGCCGGGTGCTAAAAGCTGTTACAGGTGAGGGTGCCTCTCAGTGACCTTGGTCCTAGATTCCACACAGTGCTAAGATGCCTCAGAAACACCTGCGCCAGGCCCGTTGTGAGCTCGGACGCTCCAGGGGTGGCCTCGCCCAAATCTGCTCCTGCCTATCCACCTGGGTTTTGAGGGACACAAGATACACGCAAGGGACCAGCAGCTTGGCGGAGAGGCTGGGGCACGGTAAGGCCACCCTAATGCAAGGAGCTCGGCACCTGCTCTGGATGTCCTGGAGGCACTGGCCTTGGTCCGCCAGATGGAGACCCCAGATGTGGGCCTGGTAGGCTGTCCCGGTCCAAATGCCTGGCCAGGCAGAGCCTGGGGCGCAGACGACAGGGATAAGGCATGTGCTCCCTGCAAACATGGCTCAATGATCTCCATTCAAGCTCAGGAGACTCTTTCAAACTCACTCCTTCCCCTAAAACAACCTCCTTGCAAGCACCGCACAGGTGGGCAATGAAGGTGAACGCCTACTCACCAAGGCCGGCCTGGGTTTCAAGTTCATCACAAATAGTCGATTTCACAATATTAAAACAATCGACTGAGTTATAATCAATTTCTCTACGTCCTCACAATCATCAGACGCACAGGGGATGTTGGTCGAAAGGAGAGTCTGGGCCCCAACCCCGCCTCCCACGAGGAAGGGCCTGCGGCCGTGGGGTGTGATCCTCAACAGCTTCTGCATCTGCGAGCCTTGGCTATGAGATCTCAATTTGCTATGAAGCTCTGAAAAATGCAACTTCAGATGGTGGGGGTGTCAACATGAAGGACCCCAGGGGGCCGGGCCAGGGGTGCGGAAGTCTGCACCTCCCACGATGACAAGCGCCGACCTCAAAGAAACACCAGAAACAGAGACAGACGGACGGGCGCTCACACACACATCCCAAAGGAATCTGCTTGGTCCTGAAACATTAAAACATGCTTGCGAACAACCCCCCCAAAGCCCCCACCCCCCCAAAGGTCCTCACCCTCCCCTTCCCCGCTCCTCACCTCCACTTGGCAGCCGCTCGCAGAGGGACCGGATCACCTTGGCACTCCCAAACCGCTTGAAGCGGGCTCGCACATGCCCGTAGTACCACCCCAGCGAGCCCGTCTTCACGACCCTGCAGAGAGACGGAGCTCAGGCCCATGGCACTGCCGTGGGCGAGACAGACAGGTGTGCACTGGGCGGGACAGGTGTGCACTGGGCGGGACAGGTGTGCGCTGGGCAAGACAGGTGTGCACGACAGCCACACACGCACGCCTGCCCGGCTTCAGCTACCCCTGCCAGAGAGACTTGTTGCCCTGAAAACAGCAGGGTCACGACCTCCAGGCCCCTGCTCACCTGGCCCGGTGGCAGGGGTCGCAAAGCCAGCCCTGCTGCTCTGGGTGGACGTGGCTGCAGCCTTTCCAGGCACTGCCTTTTGGGCGTCGGAGGGGCCGGGAGGGCTGCAGGCAGTGGGCGCAGTGGGTCTCGTTCGGGGGCGGAGTCGGGGAGCCGCTCCGCCCCCTGAGTCCTTCTCAGTCTCGCCCTCCAACCCTCTCAGGAGCACGGCCGAGACCGGAAATAGGTCGGACATGCGGCTTCTGCAGCAGGCTTCCCGCGGGCGCGCGCGCACTCGGGGGACGGTCTTGCGTGCAGGAAACAGTGGCGCAAAGTTGGGCAGGGCACCCCCAGGAAGCCTGTGCCCCTGCAGCGCCAAGCCCAGCCCACTCTCTCCTGAGGGGCCCCACGGGTCCACACAGCGGGGGCCTGGGTGGGCTGGAATCCACACGCACTGTCTTCATAGACACGAAATCGCATTTAAACATTTCTGCGTCTGTTTACGACTGTACGTTTTCCCAGGCTGCACGCTCGTGGCTTTCATTTATTGCAAAAGGGCCACAAGCCACGAAAGTTCGGAACCCCAGGCTGGGGCAGTCCCCACCGCTGCCCGCACAACCTCCCGCAGCTCGGCTAGCGGAAGAGGGGTGCAGGAGGCCCCGAAGCCCATGCGCTCTCCCCAGCTCCGAGCCCGAGCGCTGGGCGTTTCTGATGCGGACCTCAGAGCTCGGAGACCGGGCTCAGGTGCACGTAGCCGGGCGAGGGCGAGCGCGGGCCGGGGGTCATTAGCGTCCGGTGTCTAATCTCCCTCAGGAGGGGAAGGGCGGGTGGCTCTGAGGAGCCCAGCAAGGACCGGGCAAGGTCCTGGGGGGTGTGGCCTGTCCTCCGGGGACAGGGTTTCCAGAACTGACCTGTTCCCAGGGTGATTGTTTAAGAGGCTGGCCCCCGGTGACAGAGAAGGCAGAGAAAAGGCCCATTCAGACGGTGGGTGGGGTGGACGCTCTCCTCTGTGACCCCCGGCCAGCCACGTGCACTCTGCCACACCGGCCTGAGTTAGTGTCCCCAAGCCGAGGACAACACTAGGGAGGACGTCAGGCTGGCACGGGTCATCGTTCCCTCTGTAGAGGGGGCACAGGGTCCCGGGGGCGAAGCCAGATGGCGTTTCCTTATCAAGCGGTCTCGGGTGTCTCCCAGCGGGGACCTGAGCCCCAGGCGTGTCGCCCCAGAGCATGGCTGCAAAGGCCTGGCGGGGAGTGTCCAAAGCAGGAGGCGCTGGCACCCGGAGTCCCAGGGAACCACCGTCCCCCTAGACCTCGAGTTTTCGGTAACACGGCTTCCTGGTGAACCCACCAAATCGAACGACTGGGAAGCGTACCCCCAGATAATGAATGCGTTCCTTCGCTCTAGTTCAGGGAGTGTCTGCCCAACGAAATGGTTTAGTCTAGATGAGGTCAGAGGGATCCATTCTTAGTGACACAAATCAGACCGGCCCCGGGTGCCACTGTCTTCTGAGGACTCCACACCTGTGGTTTCCGACGGGGACACCCCCGAGCCTTCAGACGATGGAGGAATTCTGGGACGCTTTGGGAGGCCGATGATGCTGGATTAGTGGCATCGACTGCACCTCACTGACCCCCCCACCCCAAGGAGTCATCAGAATACTCACGAAGACGGTCACAAAAATAGTTCTCTCGTCTCAGCTTTGAAAATCAGTAAAAATGGCCAGTGGTTCTAGGAATCTAGGGGGCACTCTTCCCCCTCCCTCCCCCGCCTATGGTCTAGATAAAGCTTCATCCACAAGGTCCAGTCCGCACCAGTGGGAGGGGCCGCTCTCCTGAGTTCCCACTCCTGCTCTGCTGCATCAGCCACCCCCCCATGGGGCGGGACCTGCCCCGCATCCTCTCTCCAGGCTGCCCGTATCCATGCAGCACAGCGGGAAGGAAGGGGAGGACGGGGGAGGCACCCTGATCCCGGAATGTCAGGTCCTAAGGGAGAGGCCACTCACCCATGCCAGGTGCAGAACGTGGGGGAAAGGAATATTGTACTCTGCTTCAGATTCTTTAAACCAGCGGTCCCCAACCTTTGTGGCACCAGGGACTGGTGCTCTTATGAGAATCTAAGGCCTGGTCATCTGAGGCGGAGCTGAGGCGGAGATGCCGGCCCTGGGGAGCGGCTGCAAATGCTGACGAAGCTTCGCTCGCCTGCCTGCTGCTCACCTCCTGCTGTGTGGCCTGGATCCTAACAGGCTCTGGACCAGGACCGATCCGTGGCCTGGAGATTGGGGACCCTCGCTTTAAAACATAAGTTTCCTTCTTCACGGATGGGAGCAGGAAGGGAGGCAAGAGGACCCCGCACTGGTCCAGCAGGGTGACCACCTGATGCCACCAGCTGCAGGTACAGCAGCCTGACCTGGGGCTTCCAGTAGGAGGGGGTGAGTGGGGCCAGCGCAACCCACGCGCCAACACCTGTCCCCCAGATGTCACTCTGCTATGGGAGCATCAGCCGGCAAGTAAACGTGCACCCACAAGGTAAATCTCCCTCAGGAACGAACAGCTCCCGAATGGGCTTCACCATCGGAAGCAGAAGAAGACTTGAAACCAGTCTGCCTGGGGTGCTGACTGGGGCATGAGACGGAGGAGCAGGAGATGACAGGAACCCCAGGCTGATGGGAGGACCATGCTCACTGAGCCGAAGAACTGGCCGAGATAAAGACGGGGAGGAATTGAAACTGACCGCGGGGAGGAACACGGAAAACGGGCAGACTTCCCACGTGGATGCTCAGGCCAGTGATTTGGAGGAGTGAGTTTCAAGGTGTGATCCGGGGGCCTCCGGAGGGTCCACGAGGTCAGCGCTGTTCTCATGCTAACTCTAAGATGACACTTGCCTTTTTCACTTTGCAAAAGTGGGCGAGACCCCTGGGGCCCGAGCACGGACAGGGCAAAGGTCCGCCGTGCCCGTGCTCACTGTCCTTCACCGCAGAGCTCTGCGGTGTGTCCCTCATGAAAGAGTAAAACTGCTCGTTCTTAAACTTGACCCTTGCGCACCCGTCCCCTTAACTCTGCGAGGTGCCACAGCCGTCTTCATGAAAGGGACCAGCAGCCGTGTGAGTTCCACCCTGAGCTAGAAAGTTTTCCCAGGAAACGTCGTTTTTACTGGGACGAACAGTCTCACGAATGAGGTCAAGTTCGCTCTCTTGGAATGGAGAGACAGGGCTGGAGGGACGGAGACCAGGAGAGATGAGGGCAGTGGGGGAGGGAGCCGTGGGGAGCAGAGACGAATGGGGTCGAAGTATCAGGGGGATGTCCCCCGGACAGGAACCCACCCCACGTCCTCCGCCACGCGACCTCCTGGGCTCCCTGGGGCACCAACCTCGAGGGCTGTGACTGGAGGGGGCAGAGCACAGTGGAGGGTTGACGCCACCTGCTCTCGGGGGTTAGTGTCCCCGGCCTGAGGGAAGTGCAGAGTCGGCGGGAGGGGGAGGTGACAGGTGCAGAGGGACAGAGAGCTGAGGGAGGGGGAGGTGATGGGTGCAGAGGGACAGAGTTGAGGCGGAGGGAAGAGGTCAGAGGTCAGAGGTCAGACCTCGCGTCCTCCTCTCCCTGCTCTTGGCATGGAGTCTGGCGGGAATCACGGTGGACTTGTGCGAGACTGCTGGGGACAGCCCAGACACCAGGTGACACGCCCCTGCAGGCACGGCGGTGGCTGCAGCACCAGGCCAGCAGCAGCTGGAGGAGGGCTGAGCCTGGCACAGGCTTCTGCTCTCCAGCACTTGCATTGGGGGAGGGGTGAACCCCTACCCGGGACCAGCAGGACAGCAGGGGTCCTGAGAGGCCCGGGGGGCTGACGGGGGCTGCAGGTTGGTACGAAGAGGCCACAGCATGCGGAGTAGGCAGCCGGGGTCAGGGACCTCAGAGCTGGGTGCCCGCTGCGCCCAATGCTCACGAGTGGTGGCCCCATCCTGGAAGCCGACCTGAGCCTCCGCATCAGCAAGGGGCCAGGGGACAGCGTGTGGGGCCAAGACCCCACCAGCGCTGTCCCATCCCAGCACCCGCCACTGACCCAGCCGGAAGCAGGGCGAGGGATGGAAGACTGGACGAGGAGACTGAGCCACGAGAGGACACCCGAGGGGGCCGCGCGCGGGGGTGGAAATGACACGCGGGAGCGTTCCTGCGGCTCAGGGGCGGGGCGCCGAGCGAGACGGGACTGGTGACGGACAGGTGGCAAGTGAGCGGCCTGTCCTCTGCGAGCATGGCTGGCTGAGTGTTTCGGCCGTGCCTCAGAGGTGCTGCCGCCCCGAGAACACACAGGAGCTCTCCCAGCCCCGTAGACGGAGGAGCTGCCCGGAGCCGCTGGGATGGGAAGGGGCGGCTGGCGAGTGGGCGGCGTGCGCACGCGCACACGCACACGCGCACATGCACACAGACGCAACACACATGCACACACGCACACGCACACACACAACACGCGCACACACACGTGCAGATGCACACACGCACACACAACACGTGCACACACACGCCCACACGCACACACACACACACAAACGCGCACACACACACACACGCACATGCATACACACGCTCACGCACACGCGCACACACGCACACACACACGCACACACACACACGCACACACACACGCTCACGCACGCACGCGGCACAGCTGCCTGCCTGCACGGAGGCGGTGCGTCCTGCCAGTGCCCCGACCAGCCGGCCCGGCCTCATGCAGCACGGTGAGGCTGGCACGCGCGGGGCTCCCCGCAACGCATCGCCACAAGCTCAGTGGCTTTCCCCGATGCCCGTGCCTCGTCTTCCGGTCCTGGCCGTCAGAAGCCTGACCTGGCGGTCGCCGGCCAAAATCAAGGAGTTGGCGGGACTGTGGCCCTTCCTGGGCTTGGGGGAGACTCTGATCCCGTTCTTTCCCAGCTTCTGTGTCCTGTGTCCACTGGCCCTGGCCCCTGCCCCTTCTGCAGAGCCGCATGGTGGCTGAGTCCCCGCAGAGACGCTCTGGCTCTCGTGTGTTCCTGCCCCCCCCCCTACCCCTGCCCCCCGCTCCTCGTGATGACACTGGGTCACCCGATAGCCCAGGGTCTTCTCCCCAAGTCCGGGTCGGCGATAGGCAGCTTCGGCTGCACCTGCAGCCTTAATCCCCCTTGGCCATGTGCCCTAACATTCTCACAGGTTTGGGGGATCAGGACGTGGACGTCTCTGGGGGTGCGTGATGCCGCCACAGTCCTGAGGGGAACGGGTGAGAGGGCCCCGAATATGGAACCCGCACCACGTGCCACTGCTGAGGAAACAGCTCGAGGACGAGGCCCAGGGGCCCGAGACCCGCATCTCGAGTCCGACCCGAGGGGCGGACCAGAGCGCGAGAACCAACGAGTCACAGAAGGAAGAGACAAAGTCATTCAAAGCGAAGTGACCCAAATCAATAGAACTGCCGCAGGCGGTCACTGGAAGAGGACAATTGCTGTGATCAAAGAGCCGTAGGTGGCTCTGAGGCCCTGACTCTCCGGGCAAGCAGCAGGGGTCACGGCGAGGGACGGTGACTCGCCGAAGTTCTGTGAGGCCCTCTGAGGATGACCAAATGCTGATGAGCACGGCGGAGGAGGTCCACGGTGACGTGCGCACTGCGGGCCACTGAGCGCCTCGCGGGACCGTCCTGCGTGGTCTCAGGCCAGCTGGCTTCCTGTTCCGGCCCCTGCGTTTTCAGCCCTGGAGCTGTGTCTGCGGTGCCAAGTGTCCCGGCTTGGGGTGACTTCAAAGTCCTTGTTGTTATTTTTGAGGCGAGCTGTGGTCCTCCCAGGTGTCTCACTGGGAGACTTCTCATAGATTATCTCAGGAATTCTGGTCTGTTTGCAGAAATTGCGAATCCGTGTCACCGCCTGTTTGTCTTTCCGGGTTAGGCTCCCAGGACTAATATTTGATTTGTGGGTTGTGCCCCCTAAAACAGGGCGTTCTTTAGGTGCCAGGCAGTCCTCGCCCAGGGGCACGAGTCACCAGCTCTCCAGTGTCATTCCTCTGGGATTCAGAAAACCCAGTAATTTCCCCCGAGAGGACCCCTCCTTCAGTCACGTGGGACGCAGTCACTGAGGGGACTTCAGACGAGCACAGGAGGGGCCGTGCACCAGCCAGCAAGGAATGCGGGCCCCAAAATGTCAGGGGGAGCCTTGCCCCTTCTCTGAGCCGTGCACGGGGCCATTGGTCCAGGCTGCTGGGTGACCACAGAGGGAGGGACTCAGGAGCCTGGGGCTGTTGACGGGATGGCCCCTTGGAGAAGGTTAGAGTTGGTGCTCCTTTGTATTTACGTGGCATTCGAAAATAGACACGTGATTATCTTTTCTGTAGTTGAAACCTTTTTAATGCCCAAGTAATGTGAATGAACATGGAACACGGAGAAGAGAAATAATACAAAGTAGCACATGGCAAGACCGTCCAGCCCACTCCCAGGTCCCTAGGCTCACAGGCCTGCCACTCAGGAGCTAGACCCTCCCTTCCCCGGGGAATTCCTCCCACAGACGAGGCCAACGCTGTCGGTGTCCCTGGCCCCTGGAATAAACACTCCTATTTGCAAGGCCCCGGGCGCCGGCTCACGGCGGAGCACGGCCAAGACCCTCCCGGCTCTGCAGTTTCACCGTGGGGCCGTATCCGTGTCCCCGCGGGGCTGCGAATGTCTTCAGCACAGGCCTGGGGTGGCGGGGCACAGGCCTGGCCCAGGGGTCGGAGGCTCTAGTGCCTTGGAGACAGTCTGCTCAGGTGGGCGTTGGTGAGGCCAGTCACACAGCCTCGTGGCCTTCAGAGGGACCTGGCAGCTCATGTGCCCTGTGCCTCCACAGAGGAGACTCGAAGGCGTGCGGGTCACTCGAAGGTGATGTCAGCAGGCGCTGGCCTTCAGCAGTGCTTTACCGCGGACCGATGCTCACGCTCGGGGAGAAAGCCACCTGATACACGTTTCCGCTGTCTTTGTAAATATGAGGAGAAACATTTTATTTTTTTTCTCGGTTTGACTGTTTTCCAATGGGCATACTTGGTGAATTGGTTCCTCAGCAAACTGCCTCTTGGCAAGTTCGCTGCCGGTGACCCGACCTCGAGCCCACGTCCTGTGTCCCCGTACGCAGGGCAGGGACTGATTCCCAGGCGGCCAGCGTGTCCGTTTCTTGGTTTCACGATTTTGCCCCTGAGAACTGTGTCCGTCGATGACCGCGCAGCTTTCTCGAGCTGGGCCGTCCATTCGGCGTCCTTCTGGAGTACGGCAAAGACGCACAGAAAATTCCTGAACGTTTCGGCCGCCACCCGCCCAGCAGCCACTGGAGGACCAGCTTCTGCCTTCAGCCTACGGTTGGCTCACAGGTGAGGGAATTGGAAACTGGGGGCGAATGTGAGGGGCCCCCAGGAGATCGCGGAGAAAGTCGGGGACGGCTGCAGAGCACGGATGCGGTGGGGGCAGGAGGTGGACGGTCCCTTGCGTCGAGACCGGCCGAATGAGCAATGAACGCCGAGAAAACACGGCGGGGGAGGAGGCTCCTTGTCTTAACGATCACCTTCGGCTTCATCACCGGCCGCCGCTGTGTTAGCCACCGGCTCCGCGGAACCAATTTTGGCGCCAAGAGCCCAGAGTCTTCAGCGTCGGCGCGTTTCAGCCGTGCCCTTTCTGAGTCCCATCATGCCCGACCCTCGCGCCTCAAGGCCACGAGCCTGAGCCCTGGGGGTCACGGGGACACTGAGGGAAAAGCTTCTCACAGGCAGAGGCAGCTTTGCCTTTTGTTGCGTAGTTAAAACAACAGAGATAAACGCGATAAAACCATAAAAAGACACAGAAAGCCCCGCGCTCAGCCCCCGCTGTCCACACACGACTCTCCGACGTCTCGCCGGCTCACGGGCCTGCTCAGGTCAGGGGACGCCACTCGGGCTTCAGGATCCTCGACTTAGAGGTGCGTCGAGGTGACTTTCCCGCGCACCTCCGCGTGCTCCCCCTTCCTGCGTGACCCAGCACCCCACATCTCCCCGCCTGACGGGCAGGCGTTGCCGACCCCGCACATCACGCGGGGGCCGTGGAGACACAGCAGACGGCCAGGCCCCGCCCCTCCTCCGGCCCGTTCTGAGCGGACCGTCTCGGGCGCTTCTGGATGAGGTCACGCTGGCAGTGGCCGACTGGCCTGGGGGCCTGGCTGGAGCACAGACTGTCCTCAGGACAGGGGGTGTCGCCATCCGTGTCCTTCCCAGACACCTCCGGCCCCGGCGGCACTGCGCAGTTGCCCGGGCGGGTCGCCCCTTCGCGGTGTGAGGTGACTAAGGGACTGAAGGGTGTCAGCAGGCTGTCACCCCGTGCGAGACGCACGCGAGCGTTCCCGCACACCCCGCCTCGGCTGTGGCGTCCCCGCGAGGGCGGGGCTGGCCACCTCGAGGGTCTGGGGACGGAACGCCCCCGGGGGTCCCCCCTCTGCTCCCTGGAGAGCCAGTTCCCCTCCCTTCCGATTAATCTGCATTGCTCCGTACATTGAAAATAAAAGCCAACAGCGAGTGGGGGGCTGCCGGGATGCGGGTCTGAGCCATCCCCTGGGAAGAAGGTTCCACGGGAGGGAAGGCCAGGCTGGCTTTGTCCCCAAGAGCGTCCTGGCCCTGGGCCCGCCGCAGAGCCCGGGACCGGGGTTGAGGCGGAGGGAGCTGCTCCGGGCACAACAGCAAAGTGAGAGACATTGGCGTTCCACGGAGTGGGAGGGAGCTCGCAACGCGAGGGGAGCGGGGCTCAGAGGCAGAGAGAGAGAGGGACGCAGGACAGGGCCAGGAGCCCTTGCCCCTGTGACGCGCGGCAGGCAGCTCTGGCCTGAAGCCTCTTGCTGGCCAGGGCCCCGCTCAGCACTTGGGAGTTGGCCCAGGCCTGCTGTGGGCTCCTGACCTGGGGTCTGAGCAGCTGAGTGAGGCGCCGGTGGTCCCCAGAGGCCAGCGGGGTGAAAGTAGCTTCATGACAAAAACCCAGGGGGTCGCATGGTGGCCCAAGGCAGGACGGAAAGTGGGGGGTGCCCAGGCCCCACTAACACTGGAGACGCTGGGCTGAGCCACGCTCGTCCTCCCAACGACTAGTCCGTGTGTCACAGACTCTGTCCGTTCCATGTCGGGACCCAGAGGCCCCCTCACTGCTCGTCCTGTGTCCCCTGGTCCTTCCCTACCTGTCTCCCCTCCCGCGTGGTCTCCTCCAGCCCCACGGCTTTACATACTGGGGTCACCGTCACCGTCTACGTCCGGTTCCCCAAACTCATGGCGTCACCTTTCTCAACAACAGGGACGGCATAGGCGTGATCTACGTTAAGGGTCTTGAGACGAGAGGAGTCCCGCGTGATCTGGGTGATCCCGGCGCCGTCACGAGGTCCGTACCGGGGACAAGGGGTTGGGGAGTCGGAGAGAAAGGGGGCCGGAGGAAGGGGCCAGGAGCCAAGGAACGCGGCCACGGCTAGAAGCTGGGACAGGCGAGAGACAGGTTCTCCCTGGGGACCCGGCCGACACCTCGCTTTCAGGACTTCCGACCGCCAGAGCTGGGCGAGGGGGTTGTGTCACCCGTTGGTAGCAATTACGGCAGCTCTGGGGCCAGGTACTAATACCACCTGCGTGGCGGAAACCCCCACAGCCACGTCCCTTCTGAGCGCCAGCCCAGGGTGTGGGGAGCCCACTTGTCCAAACCAACGTGTCCAAGCTGCTTCCTGCCCCTCCCCAGGAGAGGGGACAGGGGACCACGCCGTTCGTTACTCAGGCCCTGACCTTGGAGTCACCTTGACTCTTCCCATGCTCCCACCCCCACCCAAAAGCGCGGGCTCGGCCATCTGACCCCTTCTCAGTAGCCCGCAGCTCGCACAGTGGCCATTCCCCTGCTTGAAGGGACTCTGAGAAGCCCCTCGGCCTGCGCGGTCCACCAGGACCCACGCGACCTGCAGCCCGTTCCGACCCCGACCCCGTCCCTGCTCTGCCTGGGGCCCCCTCCGGCCTTCTCCGGCTACGTCCCTCCCCGCCTCTGGCCTCTGCTCAGACGCCTCCTTCTCAACAGGCCCGCAGTCCACACAGACACCGAGAAGAGGCGACACGGAGCCCAGCGGGAACTGGACCTCGGCGGTCCGCGGACGAGCCTGGTCCGGGGAGGGGTGATGATGCCCGCGGGTCTCAGCTCAGGGACAGCGAGAGGGGTGCAGAGCGTGCCGGGGCGTCTGGGAGAGGAGGGTGCCGACACACCCGGAGGGGAAGGCGGAAGGTCCGCCTCATTCGGGGTGTTTCGGAGCGGAGTGAGGCCCCCCCCCCCGGAGCACCTTTAGCTCTTCTAGTCGTGCAATGTTGTGGCCGAAGCATGACCCGGCTCAGCAGGCGAGGTCACCCCGGGAGCCAGACCAAGTTGCAACCACACTGTCCGGGGACACTGGGAAGTCGGGCTGGAAGGTGGGTCCCCTCCACTTAACCAGGAGGGGACCGAAGGCGGAACGGTGGCCAGCGCCGGCCTCCACGGGATGTCCTCACCCGCACTTCCGGCCGCTCGGCCGCCCAGCGAGCCCCGAGGTGACAGCCCCTCAGGGGCCCACTTACCGCAGCCTTTCCTCCTCCTTCCGTCTGAGCTCCAGGTCCCGCCGAACCACTTCCCAGACGTGCTGGGCCTCTTCGTCCGTGAGCCTGGAGAGATCCAGCTTCTTCCCCATCTCTGCGTCTCGTCACAGTCACACCTGGAACGTCACAGATGGCAGTGGTCAGCTGACGCTCAGCGCATGACCCATCACGGAGGGCACCGACGTCCCGGGCAGCTTGTCCTGCCCGGGTTAAACAGGTTACGAGAACAGGCCAGTGCGTGTCTGGACATCTGGATGGTTTAAATAAATGAACCCTAATTTCAAAGGGACCCCTTCCCGGCCCCTGGGCCTCACACGCTTAGCCGCAGGTCCCTTATTCTCTCTCCATTGTGAAATGTGTCGGCGATGTTGGCATCATGGGGCACGCCCCCGTCCCCTGTCTTAGGGACCCCGAAGGGAAGTGTGATCCTGGAGACATGGTCCATCCACTGGGCTTGTCACCTGAGAACCCCTGGAGAAGGGAGCAGCTCTGCCCTAGGAGGACCGGTCCCACTGTGGGTGACTCAAAGTGTCAAACCGCTGTGTGACTTCCGCGTCTTCACTGAGGACTGAAATCTGCCTTCTCAGGAACACCCGGGGGCGTGGAACAACCCATCCTCTCCCACTGGGAGCCTTCGAGCCAAGCGAAAGACTCATCGGGCTTCTGAGTTCTGGGGGCGCCCCCCTTCACGGCGCTGACCGTTCGAAAGAGCTCACTGCAGAATTCCTAAGGAAACCACGTGCTTCGTGCTAGAAACGTACTTCCGTTTTTCGCATGCGAGGTTAATTACTAAAAGTGACGTTTCCTGAGCAGCACTCAGACACCATTTAGGATGACAATTTCCACGGAGATCCCGTGGCTGCCAACTGGCTTAAAATTGGTAAAAAAGTAACTTCTTAGATGCTTCGCGCCGGCCGGCCACCCCGTGCCCAGTGTGGCCTGTGGACTGTGTCCGGCGGGCAGGGGGGGGACGGGACCCTGAGGTGCCAGAACCAGGCAGACTGTCCTCGTTATAGCTGATTTGAGATTTTGGACAAGAAAACGTTAAAACGAAAATGGGTTCGTGATGCTCCCTTGGAGCACAGAGTTTCTGTTTTTTAAAAAACTGAAACAAAGAGTTATTTGATGGATAACTGAGGTTTATTCATTTTTTTTTTTTTTACCATTAAAAAAAAAATTGTATCCTAAGATGCGTATTCACTGAGACTCTATTTTCGGAGCAGACGGATGTGCCGTGACCGTCAGCTGAGCCGTGACCCCCCGTCCCCAACTCACGCAGAAGTCAGGACGCCGGCCTCGCCTCAGGGAACTTGGATCCTGAGGCGGGAGGGGGAAAGCCAGACAGCAGGAGCGAAGTGTCCTTTTCCCGCCGTGAGGGGTGACTCTTACGGCACGGCGCACGGCCAGGCAGTGGACGGGTGGAAAGGTCCCCGGCGAACCAGAACCGCGGCCGGAGGCTGCTCGCTGCACAGGGGACTCGGCCGCCTCGGCCTTTCAGGCCCCCCACCCCCCTGAGGCTGGCCAGAAATGGCTGAGAGGTGACCCCGAGGCCAGAGGCAGAGGGAGGCAGACAGTGCCACCGCATCCACAGGAACTGTGGCATCGCGCTTGGTGCCACCTGGGAGGCTCCTGCGACGAGCCTGAGTTAGAACGGACAGCGAGACGGGGGGACCACGCTGTGTTTAATAAAGCCAGGGACGATGCAGCACAGATGCCGGACACGCATCTCACGGCGCGAGCCAAGGCCGGGCTGCTGCTGCCTCACGGGCCCTTACCTGGAAAATGTTACCTAAGTGCTTACTTTAGCTCTGGCCCAACTCTGGGGGGCCAGGAGGCACGGGGGGTGGGGGAGAGCCACCCCAGATTTCAACCCCGCCGGCCTTGAGAGGCTGTGCCATGTGGCAGGAAGGCCGTACCTCTCAGGACGGCCAGGGGTGGAGAGCCAATGGCCACGACAGGGGTCTTTATCTACTGTGACCAAACTTTCCCATTTAGTGAATTAACGAAATGCTGACAGCTTCAAAAACTCTCTTTTCAAAATACTCTTAAGTCGAATGAGGAATATGTGTGACTTCAGCATTTAAAATGCATAAACCAAAGTGACTGGCATTTTGGGGACCTGTTGCTGGCAACCCCCGCACCTCTGGTTCACCTCAGGCTGGTGACTGGTGGGGGACACCTGGAGGGCGGTAGAAGGGACAGCCCTCTGCCAGGCACAGCCACGTCATGGGACCCACGTGGGCTCACGGAGGGGACGGCCTTCCAGCCAGTCATCTCTCCCATTGCTCCCCGCTTTGCTGCCCCCTGAGACCCCAGTCTCCACCTGGTACCCCTCACCCACAACGGTCAAGGGGGACACGGGGAGAGGACATGCTGGACGGGCAGAGGGCGCCCGCCCTGGCCTGGGGACGCCGCCCGGGGCATGTGGGCAGGCGACTCCTGCTTCATTTCTGTGCAGATAAGTCCCAGTCACGAGGCCCCAGAAGGAAGCAGAGTCTGCTCCGCCACGCAGACGCAGTCACACTTCTGACATTCGAGACGGTCAACCTTCCCCAGTCATTTAACGATGGGGGAACAGGAGGGCGACGCAGAAGTCAGGAGGGCGACGCGGAAGTGAACGAGCTGGAGAGAGACCGCGGACCTGGTTTTAGGAAATGAGCGTCCTGGACCCAGATGGCTGAATTTCAGCGGTGTGTCATCTTTAACCGTTAAAGATGTGAGTTCAGATTTCGGCCAAATGATAGGGAAGTCTTGGCTTGACCACATCTTGGGCTGGCCGCCCCCTGAGCCTTGAGACAATGGCGATTATGAGCAACCACCCAGCCTGAGCAGATAAAACCGGAAAGCCGTCCAAGTTCCTTACTGAACAGTGGCAGGAGTGCTGGCTGACTCAGAACCAAGGTGCCAGGTGCTCTTTCTGCTGGTAAAGGTGCCGCCCCTTCCTGAGGGGGGTGGGGAGGCGGGGGTGCCAGCTGTGGGCCCTCTGCGTTAACCCTTCGTGGCTGTTCCGCAAATGCTGCCCTCCCGCCGGCCTGTGCGGTCACGTCTGTGGGCCAGGCCTGCTGCCGGTGGGTAGGAACCAACCCCGGGCTGTTGTCAGCTGCAACCTGAGCACCTTTCCGTGGGAAGCCCCGCCCCCCGCAGGCGCACCAGACACACCTGCGGCGCAGGGAGACACAGACACTGTGAAGCGGTTCCTCGGTGCGCGCGCTGCGGCTTCCCCACCCGCGGCCCATTCTCTCTGCACCCGCATCGCAAGGGGGTGGATTCTGCGCCGGCGGCCGGCCAAGGCCTCAGTGCCAGTCTGCAGAGCAAGGTCGGGCCCCAGGTGAGCTGGCTCTTTGTCCCAGTTCAGCCACCAGCTGGCCCTGTGCCCTGGGCAAGTTCCGTGGGTCTCGGCTTTCCCATCGGTACCACGGACAACGGCCAGGGTCTGTGGCCTCTCTGGCCCTCTCCAGCCCTGTATGACACGAGGACATTAACATCGAAGTGGGGCGGTACAAGGTGGGGAGAGGGGGAGCTCCCCCTCCAGGGGTTGCTTCTGCCAAGAACAAGACAGCCACTCCCAGAGGGCTGACCAACCACGGGGGCTGCGGCTCACGTGAGCCGTCAGCACATGGCCATCCAAGGGCCCTGAAGTCACCTTTCTCATTGGCTTATTCTCCTCCCCCACCCCCCACCAATCCTCCCACCAGACCCGCTGAGCTGGCTGTAATTTTTCAGTCACTAATGCCTTAATCAGTACAACCACTGACTGCTCATGTGTGTGCCTGGCACTGTCCTGGCCCGTGTGCCAATGCCACTGCTCAGCCCCCCATGGTCTGCAAGCACTGGCTCTCTCCCTGGACTTCGTAGCCGTGGGCACGCTAGCCTTCGCAGCCGGTGAGCCGCTGGGGGCCTCACTGCCCCCTTTAGCGTTTAAGATTTGAAAAAAAAAAAAACACACTTGAAAGAAAATATAAAACATAAAGGAAGTGGGTTTTTCACTGGTTAGGTCTGAGCCTATGGACCCTTTGGGGATGTTAAGGGAGTTTGGCTCAGCGGGAACTGGAGCCAGGGCCCACCCTAGGGCGCCCACTCCCACGGGCCTTCCCACTTTTCTGCAAGGAGGTGGGTGGGCGAGGATGGGGCCTGGCAGAAACATGATTCCAATGAACCCGGGGCTTCTGGAGGCCAGGGAAAGGCCGGGACACCTGCTCTCCTTCCACGACATCCTCCGGGCTCTGTCCCAAAGATTGGCACGTTAGCCTGGGAGAAGGTCTCTCCCCAAAGGGACTCACTCCCGGCTCCAGAGCTTCCAGCCAGAGTGAGAATCCTCTGCATCCGCAGGGCCGGCCCCTCGGCCGCAGACTCACAGCAGGGCGTGGAGGTCGCTGGGGGCGTTTTCACACCGGCGGAGCTGCACACATCAGCGGGGACCCTCCCTGAGCCTGGGTCCCCTGTCCTGGGCTCCACCAGGGCCCTGCCGTTCCCCCTTCTCCTGGCACTCACCGTCTCCTTCCCGGGGCGTGGACGAGGCAGGGCGTCGGGTCAGGGAGCACGGGGGCCAGCAGGGCGCAGGGCGCACAGGAGGCGGCCAGGAGCGCGTCTCGGGCTCCAGACTTGGCTGCAGCGGGCAGGCAGTGGGCGAGGTCTGGGTGCTG